TGAGGTCGGCCTGCCTTCCGAGATTGTATAGGGAGCTAAACGGGCCGAAACAATTGTTGAAAGAAGGAATCTATTGATGATCGTTAGACTCCTTCTTTGCAGGCTACCTATAAAACACTGCGGTTCCATCGATCGACCGGTTTGTCCCCTTCAATTTAGTAACTAAACGTTTACCACACCACTCTGCAATTTTTAAAAACGAACTCAGGAATTGGGACCAAAACGTTCGATCCCAGACATCCGGTCCAACCTCAAAAATGAACCCGCTAGCAGACTCAACAGAAAGCTACAAACAACAATTTTTCGTCTACGAACAGGACACTGCAGGTTCAACTGACAAATGCATAAAATAAAGATTAAAAATAAAGTCCCCACAGTGTGCCTGCCAAACAGGACCACAAACACCTGAGCACATTCTGCAAACCTGCCCACATTACCTACAACTTCTGAAAGACACCCACCTTTCCCCAAGAGGAGATTGTGCAGAGCAAGCTATTTGGAAACAATGAAGGACCTGCTACTGACACGCGAGTTCATAGAGACAAGCTTCCTGATGGTCTGATCTGAGCATACGAAACCCAACGCAGAGAAGAAGATGAAGTACTCGCTACACAAGCCAGGTATACCCTACAGCCGTGTGAGGGTTAAGTATCATCGGCGACCGTGTCGCCCCTTAACTGGCTGGTAGACGGCTTCTTCGTCAGTTGGGACAGTTTTTGGGGTCTGTCTCATCTGATCGCATCAATACTGCAAAAGTCCTTTTCATGACTTTTTAGTGACTAGCCACGTTAAGCCATTCTAAATGGCTCACATAACCCAGTGGCAATTATAACCCAAAACTCCCCCTTTTGGTAGATGCTGGTTAGACGTGACAATTTTTGTTGTAGCTCAAAATCGGATAGGACCAGGGGGTGAGGACGTTCAGAAGGCCATATTTTTGTCTTACTGATGATATCCATTCATTCTGCTTTCTTACAGTTTACATTATTACCTTTGAGTGTTTCTGTACTGGCAGTATTCACGTTCTCAAGGGTTCCAAGTAGAATGACACCTTCCTTCAGCTTAACCTCCTTGTAGTACCTGCCACACGCAAACTCTGAGAAATCGTCGCATGGATCAGAGGTGAAGTTCATCATTTTGGTCATAATGGATGCTATATACAGACAAACGTAACTTGTTATCTTATCCATAATGGATGCTATATACAAACAAATGTAACTTGTAATCTTAGCCATAATTAAGGCTATATACAGACAAATGTAACTTGTAATTTTGGCCATAATGGATGTAATATACAGACAAATGTAACTTGTAAACTTGGCCATAATGATGCTATATACAGACAAAAGTAACTTGTAATCTTACCCATAATGGATGCTATATAGTGACAAATGTAACTTGTAATCTTGTCCATAATGGATGCAATATACAAACAAATGTAACTTGTAATCTTGGAGATAATGGAGGTTATATACAAACACGTGTAACTTGTAATCTTGGCCATAATATATGCAATACACAGACAAATTTAGCGTGTTATCTTTACCATAATGGAGGCTGGAAATAGACAAAGGTGGCCTTTTAATCTTGGCCATAATGCAGGCTATGAAAAGAAATAAGGTAACCTTTAATACTGGCCATAGTGGAGGCTATAACAGGAAAGATGGTAGCAATTAATACTGATAATAATCGAGGCTATAACCAGGCAGAAGGTAACTTTTAATAGTGGCCATCATAGAGGCTATAGATAGATAAAGATAACCTTTAATCTTGGCCATAATACAGGCGATAAACAGAAAAAAGGTAACCTTCAATAATGGCCATAATCGAGGCTATAACCAGACAGAAGGTAACTTTTAATATTGGCCATCATCGAGGCTATACATAGACAAAGGTAACTTTTAATATTGGCCATAACAGAGGCTATAAACACTCAGAAGGTAACTTTTAATATTGGCCATAACAGAGGCTATAAACACTCAGAAGGTAGCCATTAATATTGGCCATAACAGAGGCTATAAACACTCAGAAGGTAGCCATTAATATTGGCCATAACAGAGGCTATAAACACTCAGAAGGTAGCCATTAATATTGGCCATAACAGAGGCTATAAACACTCAGAAGGTAACTTTTAATATTGGCCATAACAGAGGCTATAAACACTCAGACGGTAGCCATTAATATTGGCCATAACAGAGGCTATAAACACTCAGAAGGTAGCCATTAATATTGGCCATAATGCAGGCCTTTACCAGACGCGGGTAGAATTTAATCTTTTCTACCAGGTACCAGGTTTGATAACAACTGAAATTAATTTGACAGCACAATTTGTGACACCAGTTGTTTGCAGGTCTGGCTGGACATTATCTCTTGAACTTCTTTTTTGTCTGCCTCGTGTCTACGCCCATTCCTCTTGCATGTGTACACAGCTTTTACTTCTCTGTCATCTGACATTCTTTAAATATACCCCAACCATTTTAGTCTGTTAGCTCTCATGATGCCAGTGATCAGTGGTTATTTAAAACAGATTATGTGTTACTTTGTTGCTTCTCACTCTCCATTCCCCGCTTTTAGCATCTTTGATGGGTCCAAAGATTTGTCGTAAGACTGTTTGCGAAGACCTGTAATAAGGCCTCATCTCTTTTATTTCTGCTTTAAGTTTCAGAGCCATATAAAACGACTGGTCTTATCAATGTTTAATATATTTTGATTTTGGTGTTGCGAGACAGACACTTTGACTTTAGCAGATGTTGAAGGGCATAAAATACTTTATTTATAGATTGTGTTCTAGATTGTATTTATTCTCTCAGCATATTGGAGCAGTTGAAGTTTGCACCCAAATACTTATATGTTTCGGTTCGTTTGATTTTCATTTAATCAACTTGGATGTGGCCGGAGTTTATATTCTTTCCTGTCTAGTTAGTATTCTTAAAGAATAGTAAACATTGAAAAACATTTCATGTTTTGCATCCTTCAGTCAGTCTGTGGTAACTAAAAACTATGAATGAAAGACTCCTAAGTATTATAACAAGTAAATAAACTTGGAAATTGTCACTGTCAGCTTAGTTAATGCAGGAAAACTGCATTAGCTTTCAACAAAACCAATCGTTCCATGTTGTCAGCATTAAGGCAGTGTATGCAGAAGCGGGTGTAAGGTAACTACTATTCGTATTCAGCCCGACCGCAACTATTCGGCCGAATATCGAATAGTCAATAGGTTCACTATTCGGCCCCAAAGTGAATACGAAGCGAATATTCGGTACAGCCCTAGTTATTATACTTACTGTATACCCGAAGCACACATTTTCCGAAACCTGGAAATTCCCTTAAAGTAAAATGCCATTAGTTTCAACGTAATCACCACCTCTTTCCATACGCACAAGTCAGAGTCGAAGAAATAAGGAACATGTGTATAATATATACAAGTATATATATATTTGTCTGAGTATCCAGAAACCATGAGTTGTTAACCCTTTGGTTTGATACCATAGATATCGCAACCCTTCGGCCTTAATTCCATGACAGATACTGTAAATCTGAGAGAAATGTGGCCTTTTTGCCTATACCCGGGCGTGAACCCGGACCACATGAGTTCATCACCCGGTCGCCGCACAGTCAGGTCTAGCCAACTGTGCTAACGAGCCGGGCATATATATATATATATATATATATATATATATATATATATATATATATATATATATATATATATATATATATATATATATAAAATTATCAGGCAGGTATGGATTGTTGTCTTTCACAGGGCTCGCCCAACCCCTAACAGTACAGACATACACACAAGCGACACCACATACCACGTGACCATTCATGTCCTAAAAGTCAATAACTCAGACAATATTCTCATATCAGAGTCATTTCATATTAAGAAAGTTAGGTCCTTTAAGGTACTATTTTTCAAATCATCCTCGTATAATATAAATATAAGATAATGAGGACGATAATTGGTAAAAATGGTAAATGGCATAAAAGTTAGATAAATAAAAGGAGACTATAAAAAGCAACGTAATGAATAATTATTAGAAATTATATAAATTTAAGATTATTAACATGGGAGGTATGTAATGTGGAAGTAAGATAAGTTGGAGAAGAGACATATAAAAGTCCACATAATAAAAAACAAGATAATTGTATTATGGCCAAGACAAAAACACTTTCAATGAAACAAAGATGTCACCCAAACAGGCAGAGGCCAAACTGCAAATTCGCCTGGTCAGCTAACTTCAAATAGCGCACCATAATATTGAAGTTTCTTTGTTACGTGAAGAGCTGGGGTCATGACAGACCATTACAATTATGTTTTAAGCTAAAGGAAGCAAAATTTATATTGAGATAGTTCAACTGATGTCAGTTTTAAAGGAATCAATGTTTAGCTCGTGCACATATACTCAGGTGGCATCTACGATTTAAAACTGACATGATCCCGTGTGGGTTCCGGGGCCCTATTATAGGGAAAACAAGAATAGACCCACTGCCTACCCAAAAGCATGTCGTAAGAGTCGACTAATTGGGAGCTTCCTTCGAAGTCGGAGTGCCTCTGCCTGAGAGGCAAGGAACCAACAGTCTGCACACACATGTTTCAGAACTGTCAAACGGATGCACACGCAAAACCCAGGTTTTGGAACAGGACTGCAGTCTAGAAGTGGACAAACAATCAAAACTTTCCACTAAAGTTTACAGCTTTTTAACGCAAGGAAGAAGAAGAAAACTGACATGAAAGTGATAAAAGAGGAAGCAAAGCTGGGATGTCCCATTTCTGGTTCTATTGATTAGCTCTATGCCACATTCAGAGAACGGATACACGAAGACCGAAGTCTGGTCTCTCAAGATGAAGACAGATGAAACTGATATTGTCATGTCAATTCCAATGTCTCCAGAACACTTCTCCCAATTGAAAACATAATTTAATGATCATTCTTTGCTCAATGCTGCATACATAACCAGGCAAATCTCACTTAAGAAACACAATGACCGGTTATTTGTTGTCGTCTGACTGAGCTGAAATTAGGCGACAGTTTGTTTTTTTCTGCACGCTTTGCTTAATGTATAGTATCTGCCCCCCTCCCCCAATCCATACACACACAATCTGGCATAATAACATCATTTCATTATTAATTTTTGAATAGAATATAACAAATCGAACAGACTGTACCTGTTATGACACAGTTCGGTGTGTTGCAAATTTCTTTCTCTGTTGGCCCTAGGGAAAAGAACGAAACTTATTTACCTAAATATTTTAAAGAATACATTAAAATAAACAGCACATTAATGCTTGATTATCGTTGGACGACACATCCTTGGGAAGTTTTTGAATATTAAATGGAAGGAATCCAAGAAAAGCGCAGAAAAAGGAGACATGCCTAGACAGCCGCTAGTGTCAGCGTTTAAAAGAAAGAAATAAGAAGCTGACAATATACTGAATCACTTTCATCTCGTCCATACGTGTCCGATTAAAGCGCAGCAGGAGATACTGGGGCCTGGGGGTCATAGTCCAGGTTAGCCCACCTCCTGAGATTGTTTAGGATGGTAATGGGTCGAAACAATCGTCGACGGAGGATCTTCTACTGATGATCGGTAGACACCTGCTGGGTATGCTCCCCAATGGAATTTTCTTATTATTACCAGTTCGCCATATGGGGTGGTGGGGGTGGTTTGGTTCATTGGTTTTTTTTTTCAACGGATCAACATCATGCTAGGGGTCCCGGGTTCAAACCCGCGTGAAGGCTGGGAGTTTTTACGTGGACCTCTAGAAATTACCCCTGGTCTCTGTGTAGTATGATTGGACATCCGTGTGTATTGTTGGCAGTTGGAAATCAAAAGAGAGTAGCCTAATGGCGATGCCCGGGCAAAATTTGGAGTTTAAAATCTACCCAAAGAATTTCATGATCCTCGCCCGTGCTACGGAGTTCGTGAGATTCTTTAGACTCAGGCATGAGTTAGAAGTAGAAAAGAGCACTTATGGGTTACACCCATGTGCCGTGATGTTGATCCGTTAAATAAACAAACAAACAAACAAACACACAACTGAATGGTTCTGAAAGAAAACAAGTTTGGAAATTTCAGTATCTAGAAAGTGTGTTCACGGAAGATGGCAGAACACAAAGGGAAATAAAAACAAGCCAGAAAGCAAGTACACTTATATTCATATTTTGCCCTTTATTCAGACATCCAAACATAACTGTGAATGCAAAGAAACCGATTACAAACAGCATATTCATTCTAGCATTGAGCTACCAGTCCCAAACAGAGACATTGTCTACGGAAAATCGCCTACTGTGAGATGAGATCCCTGAATAAGCCGCCAACCTAACCATCCGAGATCAAGTGAATAACCATAAAATGATAGATTGTGGGAACGACAATTTCTACTGCATTCATCGAGAAACAGCGGATCACGTGATTTGGCCATCGCTTTAAAATACAGCAACATTAGATGACATCGCATGCATTTCATCTCAGAAGACCAGCCACAAGAGCAAGAGGACAGTCGCGAAAAAATGGATCGACAACATTAAAAAGACTTTACACCTTCCAGACTTGACAATGGCCAGTGCCAGGCATCGTGTACTGGATCACAAATGGTTCCTTCCAACGGCTCTTAACGGCAAACTTGGTTGATGATGATGATAATGCACATTACAGCACTCTACTCTAGACGTATAAAGCTTAGAGGCCCGGGGGTGGGGGGGGGGGGAAGTAGGGTAGGCGGTCTTCGTGGATAATGGTTTAGAAACTTGCTTCGCCGAGTGAAGGTCCTGGGTTCGTTAGGCAGACTGTCGTTTGATTTACGAATGCAGTTTTCGCTGAGATTCCTCCGGGGAGGGGGGGGGGGGGGCAGTCCGCAGAGCAAGGGCAGGCTCCTCATCGTTGTGCGGAGAGAGACAGAGCATTGTAGGATCAAATCGGGTGTGATGAAATGTATCTTCTCCACATGAAGCCCCCCCCCCCCCCCTCCTCCTCCTTCTCCCCACTGGCCCTCTTTTTGTTAAATACAAATTAACAGGGCTTGATTGATGTTTACGCATTACTCACCGACTCCTGAAGCGTTGTTTGGCATTTTGTAGTAGTAGACAAAGAGTGCAGTAAATATGGCAGTGGACATGAAGAAGACAATCATCATAGCCACAAGCCATTTCCTTTTTTTGGATTTGGGCTTCTGTTTATCATTGATCCTGTGTGAAAGTAAGCAGGTAAAATTAGGGACCATTTTTACGCCAAACATTAGAAATTGGATGGAGAAAACGACATCGTATATAGCACCAAATACTCGGACAGCCTTTTAAATATTACATTGGTCCACTAAACTACCATATAAAAATGTGTGCAAGAGGGACATGAATGATACAGGTATTGAAGGGGACTCGTGGAAAGAAAATACTATTTACCGTGTTATGTGGGGAGGGGGGGGGGGGGCCTCAGAAAAGGATTGTAAATGAAGGAAGAAATGATTGCAGAAATGATGAGAGTTGAGTGTCTAAGAAGAAACAAAGTAAACACAAATTTGACAACAACGGTGCTGAAATCCCACTCTGTAATTGTGTAATACTTTTTAAAACGCTGGCCTAGGGCGCAATTTAACACTATCGTCTGGAAAGACGGAAAAGTGCCAAACGGTCCACTGCAATTTAGTCTACCCTTCAGTAAGTATGCAGAGACGGTATAACAAAATAACATAGTTTTACGCAACTTCGGTTTATCCCTCTTTCTGTGTAAGGAGGCAATAGCAATTGTACGAAGCTAGCTAAACTCTACTTTGGATTTTCATTTACGAACAACCAGAAACATGTGGATACTTGGGTGCAAAATTTAACTGCTCCAACGTGCTGAGAGAAGAAATACAATCTAGAATACAATCTGGAAATAAAGTACTGAGAGAAGAATACAATCTAGAATACAATCTGGAAATAAAGTACACTATGTCCTTCAACATCTGCTAAAGTCAAAGTCTCTATCTCGCAACACCAAGATCAAAATATGAAACATGTTGATAAGACCAGTCGTTTTATATGGCTCTTAAACTTGGAGCACAACTAAAAGAGATGAAACCTTATTACAAATTTTTGATAGCAGAGTATACGACAAATCTTTGAACCCATCAAAAATGCAACAGAAGGAATTTGGAGAGTGAGAAGCAACAACGAAATTTATTACCTGTTTAAATCACAATTAATCACTTGTACCAAGAGATCTAACAGGCTGAAATGTTTGGGGCATACTTAGAGAATGTCAAATGACAGAGAAGTAAAAACTATACACAAAGTAGTTGAATGGTACAGATGACAAGGCAGACCAAGAAGACAGAGAGGTAAAAACTATACACAAAGTAGTTGAATGGTACAGATGACAAGGCAGACCAAGAAGACAGAGAGGTAAAAACTATACACAAAGTAGTTGAATGGTACAGATGACAAGGCAGACCAAGAAGACAGAGAGGTAAAAACTATACACAAAGTAGTTAAATGGTACAGATGACAAGGCAGACCAAGAAGACAGAGAAGTAAAAACTATACACAAAGTAGTTGAATGGTACAGATGACAAGGCAGACCAAGAAGACAGAGAAGTAAAAACTATACACAAAGTAGTTGAATGGTACAGATGACAAGGCAGACCAAGAAGACAGAGAGGTAAAAACTATACACAAAGTAGTTGAATGGTACAGATGACAAGGCAGACCAAGAAGACAGAGAGGTAAAAACTATACACAAAGTAGTTGAATGGTACAGATGACAAGGCAGACCAAGAAGACAGAGAGGTAAAAACTATACACAAAGTAGTTGAATGGTACAGATGACAAGGCAGACCAAGAAGACAGAGAGGTAAAAACTATACACAAAGTAGTTGAATGGTACAGATGACAAGGCAGACCAAGAAGACAGAGAAGTAAAAACTATACACAAAGTAGTTGAATGGTACAGATGACAAGGCAGACCAAGAAGACAGAGAAGTAAAAACTATACACAAAGTAGTTGAATGGTACAGATGACAAGGCAGACCAAGAAGACAGAGAAGTAAAAACTATACACAAAGTAGTTGAATGGTACAGATGACAAGGCAGACCAAGAAGACAGAGAGGTAAAAACTATACACAAAGTAGTTGAATGGTACAGATGACAAGGCAGACCAAGAAGACAGAGAAGTAAAAACTATACACAAAGTAGTTGAATGGTACAGATGACAAGGCAGACCAAGAAGACAGAGAAGTAAAAACTATACACAAAGTAGTTGAATGGTACAGATGACAAGGCAGACCAAGAAGATAGAGAGGTAAAAACTATACACAAAGTAGTTGAATGGTACAGATGACAAGGCAGACCAAGAAGACAGAGAGAGATAATGTCTAGGCAGTGAAAACACTTGATGTCACCAACTGGATAGAGAAGTCCCACCAGAGAGGTTAGTGAAGGAGGGTAATATACGCAGCAATGATTCTCAAGGGCTCGGAATGCTGAAGAAGAAGAAGAAGAAGAAGAAGAAGAAGAAGAAGAAGAAGAAGAAGAAGAAGAAGAAGAAGAAGAAGAAGAAGAAGAAGAAGAAGAAGAAGAAGAAGAAGAAGAAGAAGAAGCTGAAGAAGACGATGATAAAGAAGAAGAAAGAAGAAAAAGAATATTTCACCTTTTGAGAAGAGAGATTAATAAAATATTACACAGCTAAATTCTTATCGAGTTAGTCTTTCATCTTGATCCTAGGACGGCGCATAGTGCACAGATAATGTCTCTCCATGTCTGGCGGTTCGTTGCCACCTGTTTTAGGTCTTCGATGTTCATTAGGCTCATGACTGAGCCTTCCCTGATGATGGTTCTACACAAGGTCTCCCTTGGTCTTCCTTGTTTGAATTTTCCTTCTGATGTCCATTAGAGGGCTTGATGGGTGGAGTCTGGTCTTATCCATTCTGACTGCAAGGCTAATGTAGTTCCAGTGACGCTTTGCTATACAATGTGTGCAGAGAAATTATTATAATCAATATTATAATACTGAAAATCCACGTATTTATCAGTATATCTGTCTGTACCTATTCAGTGCATTAGGAGCTCCTCCGAAATAGTGACCAGTAGAAAGGTTAAATGTTCAGATGTCCTTCTGGCTGCAATTTCGAATTTAACAAGGCATTTGTGGCAAATGTTTCTGTGTATTTCGTATAATTAACGCCACAATCATTACAAGTTAACTGTCACTGGAGTTACGTCACTTGTAATTAATATTTCTCCTACATCCACTGAAAAACCGATTTTTTTTTTTTTTTTTGCTAAATTTTATTTCAATGATATTCTCCCTAATACTTTCGGGAAAGGAAGGTGGTGTGTGGGTAGGGAGTGTCCGCAACTGATGGTGCATCTACTGAAATTAAAACAAACATAGCTGTAAAAGTGAATACAATTAGAAGTTTAGAAAAAAAAACCTTTTAAACGTCTTTATGTGCATCAAGCATATAGGGCTAAAGCTGTATTTGATAGAACACACGACCTTCCGATCCGCAGGCAAGCGTCCAGTCCCCAAACCATGGCGACTCCCGGTGACTAGTAGTGTTTCCAAAACTTTTCTTGGTCGCGGGGACTTTTCTTTTTTTCCATTGAAATTTTTCCATGACTTTTTGTGTTTTGGTTAAATTAATTATGAAGCTTGTACAATATTTCGCAGCGCCCCTTTGAAGAGGTTGCAGCTTCCCGTGGCGCGACCTACTCACAGTTTGGGATCACCGGGCTAGTATTAATTTTGACTAAAGTGGGAGCCGCAATAGCTTACTAGTCAATTCCAACGTGGAGGCTACCACCTCATTGGGGTACAGTTACTAGTGAACTAAAGACATTCAGTCACCGATTACTGCGCAGAAGGAAATAAAATATCGGCGGAAGTCAGGGAGTAATTGTTATTTATAATAAGGCTCCCAGAAACAGGGAGTAGTGCATTGTTTTGAATTGAAAAGTACTATGATTTTCTGTAAAATGGTGACGTTGAGCAACCCACATAGACGTATTTATATAAAAATATCCCAAGTTCTGTTAATCAGATTTAAAAATTGTAAACTGCATTTGAAAATAGACACATTCGTCTACAAGGTTAGAGGCATAGAATATTTTTAAGTAAAAATATGATATATTTCACATTTCTAGGTAGGACTGCTCCCTTAAATGGTGTTACAGAATCACTGACTTGGATCTACGTGTAAGAACTATACGAATTTCAGTTAACCAAGAGCTGAGCAAAAGGTGCTGGCGATGGTTAGTACGCAGGTCGAGAAAACATGATATCAATGTAACTAGAAGGTTTCATTTACTGGAAGTCAAAAAAGGTCAAAGCGATAAACACAAATCGAAACGCACAAAGAAGAGATAGTAAAGTTTAAAAAAAAAAAAATATCTGTCAAAAACTGGATTTAAAAAATAAAATAAAATGCAACACATACTTAATGCAGTATTTAAACTTCAATTTAGAAGGATTCGTTTAGCTCTCTTATTGTAACCTTTTGCTACTTTTCTTTCGTTTATGAAGCTGTCATTTTTTAAATGTGTGTGCATGTATGTGCGCCCAGCTTGCTTTCCATTCCCATACATGTTTTGGTTCATCTAACATTTATACTTCTGTAGCATTAAAGAAATTGCGATAACATTTGGTTACACATTTTGAAATGTTTACAAATTCCACCTTTAAGGCAAACAAATCGCCCGCACCTGTTGAAATTTTGTTTAAATTGTAAAGGTTTGGTAGCATGTGCATTTCATAATACATATAGTTGTATTGAATCATCTTACCCTCATTTACGTCCACAATCCCCGTCCTACTAGAAAGAAAGAAAAAAGACTCCCAAATAGAATCTTTACAGCATAAGGACAGTTGGGACCTACAGCCTAAGGACCTTTAGACTGATTTGTAGATTTATGAGTTTGTCATCGAGTTAGACGTAAAGCAGTTTGCAGGCAAATATATGGACTTGGGCCTATTTTATCACATCATTTATACATATGTCCTCATTCTTTACAGCTGCACATATACACAGATTCAGTATGTCCCGGACCACCGCCTGAGGTAACTCACGTATTACAGAAAGTAAACATAGCGAACGTTACATTTCTGCGTCACAAATTTTACTTGCTTTTCTGTAAAAACAATTATATAACTTCAGTTAGCATCAGTTGCTTAAGGATTGTGGATGTGGTATCACAATCTCGACATACCGGGTATTCGAAGTTAGCTGCAGGCGATTTGTTAGC